AGAGAGAGAGAGAGAGAGAGAGAGAGAGAGAGAGAGAGAGAGAGAGAGAGAGGAAGAAGGAGGAGATGAAGGAGAAAGAAGGAGAAATAGTTGAATATAACCCTGAAGTTATTTATTTATCTTTAGTGCCCTGTTGTTTTTGAACGTTTAAAGATCCAGTGCTCCATAAATCACAGGCCCTTTCTCTATACAACCCCACTAAGCTTGCATCCTAGTTAGAGCCAGGAATAGCCTTGCCCAGGATCTTGTATTCCTCCTACACTATCATGCAGTACTTTCAGCATAGGAAGAGAGTGCTGCTTACTCTGAAGTTAATATGAGGATGAAGTTAATATAGCGATTGTTTAATAATTATGTAACTAGCATAAGCAATACTTGTAATGTTTTTTTCTTAAAATTTTTAAATTTACATGTATGTATGTGTGCCTGAGTGAGTTTATGTTTACCATGTGTGTACAGTGCCCATAGAAGCCAGATGACAGAATTGGATCCCCTGGAACAGGAGTTGCAGGCAGTTGAGAGTATCCATAGGCAAAAGAAACTGAACACAGATCCTCTGTAAGAGCAGTAAGCACTCTTAACTGCTGTGTTATCTCTCAATCCCTTCTTTTCCCTTTCTTTTAATAAAACAATTTTTTAAAAAAATTTTACTTGCTGTCTTAAAAAAAAATCTCTGGAACAGGAGTTACAGAGGGTTGTCAGCTGCTATTATGTGGTTGCTGGGTATCAATCCTGGGTCCTCTGCAAGAACAGCAAGTGCTTTAACCACTGAGCCATCACTCTGGTACCTCTTTTCAGGTGTTCAGGCATTACACACATTTACATTGCCATCTATCTGTCCATTTTTATATCCATCGATACATTACAAGCTAGAATCCATCTTACCTCATTTAATATTATGCTTTCCAGATTGATCCATTTTCCTCTTCCATTTCATGGATGTAGTATCTGAATGGAGTAAATGATAAATGTTACTTTGGACAGTACATATAACTTTATCCTGTTATTGTGTTCTAATGTTCCATTGTGTATCTAACTAAGTTATCAAACTCATTCCTTCCTACTGGCCCTTTGTCAAAATAAGTTTTCTATCTGTAACTGTCAGGCTCAGAGTTTGTAGACAGTCCAGACTGGTCTTGAACTTAAGGTGATCAGGGTTCCTCCAGTCCCTGCTTCCTGAGTCCTGATATCACAAGTGTGAGGCATCATATTTGGGTTCCTGTATCCCACTTTAAGATCTTTTTCTGTTTCTCCCCTCTCTTTCATTAAAGCCTCTAAGATGTTCTCAAGTTTTACATTGAAATGTAAGATACTTTTAAAAGTGCATGAATTACCTGTGTTATCATCAATTCAAGAAATTTATTTTCAGTTTGAGAGTAAATTCTCTGAACCGCGTGAATACACAAGATGGAGTAGGACATAAGTTCTTTCTACAATCCACACCTGCAGGAAAGCCCTGCTATGTGTTAGATGGACAAAAAGAAAAGAAAATGCAGAGCATTGAGCCTCTCAAGCCACCTGAAATGAGTACTGAGGAGATCTTACCAGTGGATGAAACACTGAATTTCAGGGATCTCTGTTTTATACAGACTTCAGGAGACAAAATAGCCAGAAGCCAGAGCTTGTCTGCTCTCAGAAACATGGCTATTCTGGAAAGACTAACTCAGATGGGAGGGAATCTACTCCCTGCAGGGGTGAGGGTATATATTTCTGTGCTAGGGTCTCAGTACATTCAAGGATCTGAGAGACAGAAGAGAAAAACATATGGGGAGCAGGAAAGCCTGTTAGCACTGCTAAAAACAGCTCAAGTCACCATAGGGAGCTAAGCAGCTGCTCTGAGGATCTGAGGAGGCAGGTGACAACGTATGATATTTTAATATTACTTCTCTATAGTGAAAGAAATTTGTATTTTAAGATGAATAAAAATAACATAAAACAATCACATAACAACATTAGCTTACCTTATTCTCTCTTAGGCTTGCATGTAACTCCATTTTTGTGCTTAGTTGGCACAACTGTAATGGGCAATATTAAGTGACAATATTAGGTGATATTAGGTCCTGGTATGCAAGGTCCTCTGAAGTACAAGATGATGACTCTCTTGTTCATAAAACTGATGAGTTATAAATGTGGCATTTTATATATTTGGTTTCTGGGAATTTTTAGCCTAATCAAAATGGAAGTCTGTAGTTTATAACCTATATATCTGATATGCCATTTCTTATGTGAAACTGATTTTCTGATTCCAATTCCCTCTACTGTATATGCTGAGAACTTAACAGTTAGGGATTCACAGATCCAGACCACAACATCAAATTTCTGTGAGGTGGGAAATGTCTCCTAGGGCAGGCTATGTTGATGCTGTGTGGAATCTAGTATGAGTTACTTCACTGCATATTTATCATGTAGAAATGCCCACTGAGTAGGTCCTAATTCACCTACCTTGAGTAATATATATATATTTTTCCCTCGTAGGATAGTGGTTCTGTAAAACTTCCTAACAAGTAAATCTAATACAGATAGACATATTTGCACTTCTCCAAACCGATAAAAACATAATTATATATCTACATTTGACTCTTACACATATACAAATCTATGGCCAATATTTTAAAGAATCTATGAGAAAAATATCTCAAATCTGTGTACTCTTAACACATAGGGGTAAAAGTAAATAATAGTGCCCATCAACAAATAATTGAAGATCTTCTATATGCCATTCATGGTGTTGGTCATTATGTGTGTGGCATTCTCTTATCTGAGTACTGAGATTTGGACTAAACTGATTAGCATTCTGAAAGTGGTAATAAATAGCTCTACAATATGATATAAGATATAGACTTGAGTGAGACCCATGCAGGTAACATGATCTCCGATCCAGGGGGACTGTGTAGACTTGAGTGAGACTCCAGGCGGATAACATGATCTCCGATCCAGGAGGACTGTGCAATAAAATTGCCTATAGTAGTACATAGAATAACTTCGAAACAATAGTTAACAGCTTTCCTTCCATAATCACAACTAATAAATATGTGTGGCCGCTAGTGAGAGGAGGGCAGCCAGATAAAGTACAGGAAAGCATTAACATAATTTGAAATCTTTTGTAAAATGCCACATAGAAGGTTTTTGTTGTAGATAAAGTTATGAAAACTCCTCATTTAACACTGCAATAATCACTTTCCACCTTCTTTTTCCTCTTTTCATTCCAATGTTTCTGCAAATTCCCATTGTTACACTGAAAAAAATCACTTCCTTGAACCGAAGTTTTTTTTTTTTTTCTGTAAAATGAGTAATTTTGGAATTACAAGGCAGCTTGGATACCTTGTATTTCAATTCTTTGAATCTTCCTCAAAGATCACATAGAATATCTTGATAAGATACTGGAAACAGGACACAGAGGTTTGATTGATAACTATAAGTATGATGTAAAGAGGAAGACAGAACAGTCAGTGCTTGGCAAGAATGGGGATCTGAGCCACTTAATCAGACAGAAAATGGCAAGAGTTTCTCACCATCAGATGTCATTCCTGTATCTCCACCCAGCTGATGACAATTCATGACCTAATTTGAACATCTGCTGGGTGAAACACATGAGTGTCGAGATAGGCTGGGCCACAGGGAAAAAGAGGGGGTGGAATAGAATGTGC